CAGCACCAAACCCCTTCCAAAAATCACTCGGCCAAGATAGCAGTTTTTCCACAAGAAAAGAAATAAAGGGAATTTGACACATAATACAAAGTGAAAAGCAGAACCTAAGTGGGGGAAGGGCGTGTGCGTGAAAATCATGTCACTGCAATGAATGTCAGATAAAAAGGGGTCTGTCACAAATCCTCCACTAATCCAATAATGCAAAAACCTCTTGCTATCACCGAGACATAGCACAAGGTAATTTTTTTGTATTCTTCATAAACCACTCTACACATTTAGCAGTAGAAAGACAGCAATTTGTCAAATTTTCTTATCAGGAATTTAATTTTCCATTAAAGGTAAACTGACTTTTTACGCGTCAAATTTACTATGCGCATTCCTTGGCCAGTATTTTTACCCTACCAAAGGGCCACTTTTTGCACAACTTCCTCCAGTTGTCAGTTGTGTGACAACCATATTTAGAGGTAATCAGGTCACATTACAGGAGTTAGTCAACTCATGAGAAACCCTAACCCTCACACTTAATGGTATGCCCTACGCATTTCTAAAGAAAAGTGTCTTAAATTCAGCCTGGAAGGTACCACAGAGCTTTCTCTATGTGTATGTTCTTTCAAAATACTGTGTACTAATTGTTCTTTTTGTTCTTAAGATGTTAAGAATTTTTTTTCTTTACACACACACACACACACACACACACACACACACATATATATATATATATATATATATATATATAAAATATGCAATGAGCTAATTTAGGATCCATCAGATTCTCATCTGCCAGAGCCACAATGCTCATCTTGAATCGGTGCTGGCCATCGCACCAGGCAGTTTTACTACTCCAGTCATAATTCTCTGAAGAAAAGCTAATCCAGGATCTTTTCTAATGTAAACAGTTTGCTGCAAAAACACTCACATTTAAAAATAAAGCAATGTGTGGTAATAAAATAAATACAATCAGACTACAAATGTGTAACAGAAGTGGCGTTCCATAAGCACAGCTGTCTCAAAGTCCAAGCTGCAGGCTAGAAATCTTAATTTCAACTGACTCCCTCTTAATCATGGGTTACCTTCCTATAAAGCGTCAAGTCCATCTGCCCCAGGCAGATAAGTTTTGAAGCATTAAAATAGATAAAAATCTAACATTTTCTTTCTTGCATTGAATATGTGAATTCTAGTGTGTTATAATGTGAGAATTCCAACATATGACCATTATGGCACAATATCTCATAGCTCAGCTTGTCATTACTTCACTTGTAATTCTTATGTTAATTATGTTCATAATTACTATAAACAGATGTGGTAGAAATTCATGTGACCTTTTACTGCAGAAGGCATTTCTCACTCTTTCCACTTTATTTTAGCAATACAATATTAAACCAGAGCAAAGTATCTACGTGCATATATACATATTTAATGGGAAACCATGCCTACCCCATATATTTCAGCCACAGGACCACCTATGTGCCAGCACACTGACATGAAAATGATGGTGGTAACTGAGAAGTCGACCCTGAAACATACCCGCAAAAGACTGTGCCTGAAGTGAACCTTTTTGGCTAAACTGAACTAAATCTACAACTGAAGCCTGGGACATAAATGGAGCAGTGTGTTTTTATTCAGCACCTTTGTTAATGCAGCAGTATCCTGCTTTACAACCACAGGTACATGACGGCCATACAGCAATTTATTTTACTCGCAGCCCAACCATCACCGTCTGTACACAAAACACATTTACAATAAAATCACTATGGATTTCATTAAGAGAAAGCCTACTCGAATTTCATTTCTTTGGACCTAATCTATAATTAGTGTGGACAGACAGGTGCAAACCCTTCTCCTCTACAGATGGCTACTGGAAATGGTGCAAAATAGCTCCTTCTGTTTAAACAACACACAGATAACCTGCTCTGCTCTTATCACTTACAATTACCTCCATTATACTGAACTAATGTTTACTTTAATAAAACGTCCACTGTTCTCTAAACGATATTTGGAAACTTTCATATCAATGGCAGGGAAAAAAAAAAAAAATGAAGATGGAAGTCAATGTCTCTCAGATGAAATTATTTTGAAGGGAAATAAAAAGCCTTTTGAAGGGCAGGATATTTTGACTTCGATCTTACATCTGCTGATCGTTTTTCTTTATCCACAAAACCACACAGTATACTACTTCCTGATGCATTTATGCTACCATATATTAAGCTAATCAGGTTTATAGTAAACAAGAAGAAAATAACTGCAATTTTAAAGCAGTTCTTTGAAAAGTAACATTTACTGTAGGGAAACAAGACCTTTTACAGTAGAACTTCAGTTTTTAAACTAACTTTCTTTAGATCTTTAATGTGAAAGTAGGTGAAGAAAATGAAATCTGGAAGCCAATATTTTAAGAATTTACTCTCGGTCCTTATGCTAAATTCAGTGTCAGTTTAAAATCTTATAAATATTCTAGGTTGCTATTAAAGGCTGTATGAAAAAAGCAGGCTGCTACTAACTAAACGGATCCAAGGTTTTTAATTTATTCTGATTTAAAATAATTTCTTTCAGCGGTTTTTCAGCCAGACCATGAGAAATAACCTCTTCACAACACCAAGTTCACGTTTCATTTCAGTTGATAAGGCTTCTTGATCTCCGCATGACAACTTAAGTTGCTACAGAACAAAGACCAGGGTCTCCCCCTCAGCCTAACAAATCTGAAGCTCCCACAACAGCAACATACTAATATCCTTATTCAATTAGCTAAAGATTTAACAGTAATGGACTGTGGCAAGTGGATTTCAAAGATGGAAACGACAATTGCAAGCCCATTCTCCCATCACCCCCAATGCAAATGCCGCAGACGCCTGTTTCACCCCAAGTGCCTGCAATGAGGGGCTCACAGGCTGCACAGTACCTCAATGGAGCGAGCTTCGCATTCAACGCCTGTCGGCTGAAGTTCATTTCAGAGAAGTGAGAAACAGGATTTGACAGGGAAGAACGTTCTGAGCTGACTAGCCACTGGCCAGCACTCCAGGTGGAGCTGTTTTTCTCCCCTTTATTCTACAAACAATACTTCTGGCACTGAACTCCTTGTGCGCGCAGGCATACATAGTGTTAAGTGTATACAGATGAGACGCCGTGTGATGTTTTACTGGTCCATTATTTAGGCAAGAAACGAGTTAACGTTAAGGTGGTCAGAAATGGTAGAAGGCAATGTTTTACTTGAAAAGATTTTGGAAACTATTTAAAAGCTCAAAGCCTTTGAAGGAAAACAACTCGTGCAGCAGTTGCCAGGAAGCAGTGACCTAACGCTGCTGTCTGCATTCCATTACAAACAGAATGGTTCTTGTCTCCTCCGGCCCGCTCCCACCGGCCCCACGACAGCTCGCTGTGTCCCACCACCTCCCTCACACCCAGCCTGGCTTCAGCTCAGCATCAGCAAACTTTGGGGCGCTGGGTCTTGGTGGGGACTGGGCTTTCCTTCACACTGTTGCATGATGTGAGTTTTCCGTGATGGAAAGGAAAAGTGATGCAGGAACTGAAGGTAGCAATTCTACCCCCAGGTTCAGATCTGGTAAAAGTGACCTTCAGAAAGTTGTCAGTTACCAAACACAGCACTACTTCTTCACTGAAAGCTTTGACAGGGAGCCTGCAGCTCGTCTCACAACTAATGAAGCCTTTGCCAACTTTGTGTTTCCATATACTGAACCGTTAGGAACATGCCATGCTTAGATCTTTTTCCTAGTATTATTTCTATTGATGGGGAGCCCCAGAAACATGCCTCGTGCTAAAACCAGACCATATAAACAAGACGGAAACTTTCCTAGCATTCAGCCAGGCTGAAGGAAGTTCCCTGCTCGTATTGGATTTCCTAAGGAAATCAGCCCAGAATAAACGGCATGAGGTTTTCAGACTTCCCATGGAAAGGTCAAGCATCAGCTTTAACAGCCATCAGAAATCAGTTTCAGTCCTCTTACCACCCAGCTTCACCCAAACTGCTCGGAGAAAAGCAGAGCAGAAGACCTGCACAACAGAACTCACATCAAAAAGCATCTCTCCCATCTTGCCTCAAACTGCACTTAACAAAGTTACTCATTTAAACTTCCCATTGCATCCGTCAGGATGCAGAAACAGAGGAAATGTGAGGCTATGAGGGTATAATTAAATAAATTATAATCACCCTTAGCCCGAACATATTGTGTTTACAAATACAATAATTATGTTTCTAGCTACATGTCAAAAGAAAATATTTTCTGAGTCCTTCAAAAAGCATGCGAGTACTGCTTGAAGGAGAAAATAAGTCAAAACAGATTAGCAGACCAAAAACGGGTAGGGAGAAAAAAAAAAATAAATCCTGCTTTGGTCAGCAAGTCGGACCACCATCAGGGGATAAATCAATTTGCAGCAGCTGCGGACAGCCATTTAAGTCTGGGGCCTGAACAGATTAATTAGGGGAAGCGATGTTAAAAGTTAAAGGGGTCAGAGTTACATTAAGCATACGTATATTCGCTGGAGCAGCCCCTCGGCTCTTACATACCGAGACTCAGAAGGCATCCTTCAGTTACACGAGGGTATGCCCACAGCCAGGCGTTTGGCACTCGCTGTACACCACAGCTGTGCATGCGGGCTGCTTTTAGGGGGTATATCCCTCTCTCTTCTCCCCATCTCTAACACCCTACGCCCGTCACCGGCGTCCTGGTTTGTCTGCGGAACCGCGCGGCTTCCTACCACAAGATCAAGCGATCTCCAGCCCCGCTGCACCGGGTAGTACCAAACTCGGGCAGCTCCTTAAGGCAGGATCGCTACCTGGGGCTCAGCGGATCGCAGCCCGCACCGCAGCGATGAACAAGCGGGGGATGCAGCCCGCACCCAGCAGTCTCCAAGATCCGGCTCCTCTCGACTTAGAAGCCCGCAGCCGCTCTTGGACCGACGGCTTGAGCGGGAGACCGGGCGGCTATAGGGACGGTGGGGCCGCATGCCTTCGCCCTCCCGCACCCCGGGGACCGGCCCCAAAGCTCCGCTGCGGGCGATCCCACAGTTGCTTTCAGTTTCTTTCTAACGTTTCGGGGAGCAGAGGGCAGTGACAACACTGATTATTTCTGGACACAGAATTTAACAGAATTCACGTGCTGGGGGTGCCCCAACGAGGCCCGCGAGTGCTTTCCTCCCCCGTGTCCGATTTTCGCCCCGTCTCCCAACTTTGGCACTAACAAAAGGACTCGAAGTAGCCCAAAGTGCAACGCTCGTTTGCACGGGCGGGCGTGTGGTGTTCATCCCTCAGCCCCCTGTATGGAACCGATCCCTCCTGCTCAGCTCGGCGAGGTGACACGATCACATCCTATTGCAGTTTGGGAAACGCACTCCCTAACGCTGCCCTCTCGTTTCAGGAAGCGAGATACGAAACCTCGATGCAATGGAAGACGATGTGCACAGCCTGAAATATTTCTCGCAAAATAGCCTGAAGTGGTGTTGCCTGTGCTACATAATCCGACGATTGTAACGGAACAACAACAAAATCCCACCAGAAATATTTCAGGCACTCCGTTTCACATTGGCTAGGTCTGGGATCTGGCAAGAGGGCAGGAAAAAAAAAAAAAAAAAAAAAAAAAAAAAAAAAAAAAAGGGAGATAAAAACCCCAAACAACAAAACTAGTCCTAAATGGAGACAGAAACCCTAAGCTAGGAGCTTCGGAGGGCTGCTTTCTACACAAATTGAGTGCTGCGGGTCCTGGGCTTTTGAGAGATCCGGGGCCGAGCCGGTGAGCGGGGACAGCGGTGGAGGAGCTGCATGCACCCGGGCACGGCCGCAGCCCCGGGTTAGTTCCAGCCGCGGAGCCCCAGCGGGAAGGAGAGGGGGAAAGAAAGAGGGGCCCGCACCCCCGCGCCGCGGCCCCGCGCCCGTACTCACACTGCAGAGGACCGGAGATTCCCACCATTCGCCACGGGCTGTGAGCTGCAAATAAAAGTTCCCGTCCTGCTCGGGGGAGCGCCGGCAGCCCAGGCTGCTGGAGGGGCGCGGGGGTGGGAGCGGGGAGAGCAGCGCGGCGCGGCTTCCCTTCCCAGTCCAGATGATCCACGTCCACAAAAGTCAAAACGAGCTGAGGAGAAACTCCAGCTGCTCCTTTCCCCCCTCCTCCTCTCTCTCTCTCTCTCTCTTTTTTTTTTTTTTTAAAGGAGGATCAGCTCGAGAGAGCCTCCCGGTTCCAAGGGAAAGGACGAGAAGCAAAAATAAAGTCTCCAAGCCGAGATAGCGAACGCCCAGCTCCTTCTCCTCGCCGCAGCCAGACGTGATGCGGAGCGCAGGGAGCGGCCGCTGTCAGTGGCGGGGGCTGTGCCTGTCCCCGTGCAGCCGACGCATCGCCGGGCCGAGCCGCGCTGCGCTGTGCCGCGTCGCTCCGCGCTCCGTTCCGCCGCTCTCCTCTCCGCTCCGCGCCCCGCTCCGCCCGGCTCCCCGCTAGCAGACACCTCGCGAGGCAGGCAGCATACTGCCGGCAGCCGGCCCGGCCCCGCTACCCAGGTGCAGGGGGGGAGGGCTTAAAGCAGTGGGAGGTGATAGAGGTAGGAGACATCTGTGTCGTGAGGGGGTTAGTGGGGGTCAAGTAGATGTTAACAATAGGCGAGCGCGGTCCCTCTCGGGCAGCCCGCCTGCTCTTTCTTTCCCTCGCTCGCTTTTACCGGGTGGACATCTAACTTGCTCCCTAATGATGCCTCCCCGGCTTTAAGAGTCCAGACTGCCCTGCAGTAACCCAAGACAAACACTTTCCCTGGCCATCTGGAGAGCTCCTGGCTGCTCTGCCTGTGTCTCATCACTGTGTGAAGAGACAGCAGTGCTAGAAATCAAGCCACTCTCAGATCTACTCTCTAATCCCCTTCTGTTAGCTGATTTCCAGTCAGACTGTTTGCTTTCGCATTAGATAATAGCCTTAGAGAAAACAATTATCATTTTCTTTTTCCCTTTGTATTTTGTTCTTTATAAAGTACAGTATTGAGGAAGGCCTCCCTCTCTTTTTTTTTTCTTTTTTTCTCTTTTTTTTTTTTTAAAGAAATGTACATCTTTCGTGGTTTGCAGAACCCAGATGCAATTTCACACTTTCCTGGAAGGGGATTCTGGATTCTTCCAAAAGCAGAAACACGATTGTGACTGCAGTGGAAATTAATTACGAACAGCTACAATTAATAGGAGTGTGCCACCATTTGCTCCGCACTTCATTCCCTAATCGTTTCAGGAGGCATCCATACATTTTCCGATTCATCAGTCATTCCCTTCCACGTTTCTCAGAGAATGTCATTGTCAGTGATGCAACCTACAGTGAAGCGGTGCTTCTGCTGTCATGTTGACGCTACACAAAGAAGGCACCTCCATGAAAAAAAAAAAAAGAAAAAAAAAAAAAAAATCGACTTCATAGAGTGAGGAAAAAAACTGTGTTTTTGTTGCGTTTCAGGCTAGTGATTGGAGCTCTCAGAACTGTCTGGGCATTTAGCGTAGGGTTTTTTGTTTGTTTGTTTGTTTTTTAATGGCAAATGTTAACTAAAAGCAGTGGTGTGTGTAGCAGAACTTCTCATCAGCCGGCATTGTTTATCACTGTATGCACACTCACACACATGCTATGGGCCTGCTCTTGCAAACTTGCAAGTGCCTGATTTTAAGCACTGAAATAGGTGTACTGAATGTAAAGGAGCTTTACATGTGCTCACAACAGGCGCATACGCATTCCTGGAAAGGACATTTATGAGCATCATTTATCCGCTGCTGTGCCAGGCTTTGAAAATGCAGTTGTTTTTGAAAATACATTTAAAGCATGCTTTAGGATCCAGTTAAATGTATCTCTCCTACAGATATTTAGATACACAGGGCTTTAATGAGCAGCTTGGCATAGCATAATAAGAGGTCAAGTTTACCTTGAAGTGAATTCAGCTCAACGGAGCAATTACATCAGGACATGTTTTGTTCTACAGTGATTTCAATTTACACAACTGGTGGGAAGCCACAAGCCGGGCATTGATTTCTAATTTAAAAGCTATCTGCTTTACAGAGGTCCATTTTGAGGCCAAAATTATTGGCCGATTTTTAAAAAGCTTTTTAAAAATAATCTAAAAATAGCAAATTTCCAATATTTCCTTTGTCTGCTGCAGACAGAGACTTTGGTTGAGTCTGAAAATCTGTGTGGCACGATAGTTTCATCCATGTTGTTGAATGGAAAGCTGAAAAGTGAGCAGGAATTGTCGAAGGACACAGAGCATGTTGTGCTGACGTGTTGAGGACCGAAAGCCGAGTCTGAAATCTCAGCTTAAAACAACAGCAACAAAAAAACCTCACCAGAGCAGTTACCTCTGGCTTGTACCTTTAGTTTAAGAGATCAGGTATTATCTTACGAAAGAGGGAAGGAGCATCATTTAGAAACTATGGGAAGCTATTAGCCATTAAACATCCACTTACAAACTGAATCAAGTTAATATCTCCCATTTTCTGTAAAGAGAATAGTACAGAAGTCACCTTTCAGAATGCCTGCCCTGCCTCACAGAGCAGTAGATGCAGACCCTCACGCAGTGACTGAGCTCCCCCATCACTCAGGGAGAATACATTGACATGATTCCTAAGTCATAAAAGATTGTAACTACCAAATATTGTCATTATATTCCCTAGCTGATGAGTGAAGCCTGGCTTATTGCACGCCTCTCTTACCCACACCTTTTTCTTCTCTCTATTTATTTCCTGGAGAAAGCAGGTATGTTTTAGTGCAAAAGGAAAAATAAACATGTTCTTTGAAACATGAATTTATGTTTCAGGAAGAAAAAAAACGCAGGCTCACAGCAGACCTCACAAATACTTGGTAACTTTACACCCCGCAGATTTTTCCTGCAGACTGTAGCTGCCATGTCTGATTTGACATGTGAAGGATTTACACCGTGTATCGCTGTGTGATATGGTGTGAGAGGAAGGCTGGTGGAAGTGGAGTTGCACATGGGAGTCAGAAATATCCTGCGATGCTGTCCAAAACTGACTGTATTTTGATTGTACATAAACAGATCAAATGTTCTGAGCTGAAACGTGGCTTGCTTTTTGCTGCAAATAATTATATTATGGGCACTCATCCGTACTGACATTCTTGGAACAGAATTTCTGTATCAACTCACCCCAGTGCCATTTAAAAATAGACACATGTATGTCCCTCCTAATCATCATTGCCTCGCAGCTTCAGGTGTCAAACTCTGTCGCATGTCTGCATCTGGAATCTGCTCTAACAGTTCTCTGCTCAAAATTTACAGACTTGAAGCCCGTGCCTGTTTTGAGGTGATGTCTTTCCATTGAGATGACTTGCATTACCAAAAACCTCTCTGTGTGCTGCAGGAAGCATGCGGGGATCTCCCTGTTGTTTTGGGCTGGGCCAGGCCTTGGCACTGTGACTGCCACAGTGCTCATTTCACCAGCACTTATTTTCACTGAGGCACAGTAAACGTTCATATAAAACTAAACAGTTTAGCTCGATATTTGATAGCTTTAACTTATGAACTTATCCATGTTTTCCCAATTTCCCCTGTAGTTTACAAGTGTTTTTTATATGTTAGCATGGGCCGTGCTTAGTTTCCATCCCCTCCTGGTTGCACACCCTTTGCAGGTGGCACACTCCAAAGGTGGTTGCTGCACAGTGCGTGCTGGTGATACACATACTCTGCAAAATCCATCACCGCTTGGCTGAGTGCAGGCTAAATCCCACCTGGACCCTGTGCATCAGGACAAGTGCTTGATAAAAGGAGCAGAAAGTATGCTGCAGCAGGACAGATCTCCACCCTTCAGTATGCAGAGCATGTCCACTAGGTGATGTACATGCTGCAAGAGCTGGCACATCACCTGCTTGCCATCTCCCTTCTTGCTATTGTTTACCCTCTGCTTTTGGTTCGGACGAAAATGTGTTAAGTTCCTTCCAAATGGAAAGAAAGAGGCTATCTACCTTCAGGATGTTACAGGCTTCACTGATGTGCATTTTGACATCTCCTTGTCTGATGTGATAAGTTTTAGCCCTGCTTCATGTATATTTATTTGGGGAATGCCTTAATTAAATTCTGTGCTAAGGGCACTTCTTGCATTCCTCTTTGCCTTCCTTTGGCATTGTCAGGTCTCCAAAAAACCCTTTGCTGTTGCAGCATCCTGATACGCCTTGCACATGTATACATGTGCTGTGACAGAAAAAGGAGACCTGGGTTATTTGGGAAAAGTTCATGTAGACAGAAAGTACCTATTGATGGTCATTTGCTGGAATGCCAGCTTTGTCATAGCTGTCAGACATTTTCAGTGAAATACGGCTTCTTATTGAAAACACAAATCTTTTCAGAAGGACGGTTCAGTTAAATATAGCAACATCCACCAAAAAGAGGTAAGAAAAGTGTTTTGAAAACTTTTGTTTTCTCAGAAGCAAAAAGCTTGCCTTGCCCTAATCTGCTGTGTATGATTTATTTATACAAATAAATATGTTAAATATTTATTACATTAATATTTAATATTAAATGTATTTTAAGATAAAAAATATTTATTTTTAGTGCTGAGATTTGTTTTGTTTTTCTTTTTACTGGAACCAAAAGGAACAATCCAGGCTCAGAGCTTCTTCTCCAACAAACCCAAAACCCACCAAACTGGAAAGAATAAATTTGGTTTCCACTCATGTTAAAGAGCAGGAAATGTCTTGCTGCTGGGGTTCCAGGAAGCAATAAGAGCTGCATGAAGTGCCTGCCTGGCACAAGTCTCCTGGCCTTGCTGCTGCGGCTGCCCCATGCATGCCCCCTGACTTCTCACCTGCTGGGCCGCCACCTGGCAATAAACAGTCACCTCCTGTTAGCAGCCAGGAGTAAAACAAGCAGCCACAAAGCTGTTTACCTAAACACCAGAGAAGTCCCCCAAAGCAAATCTGCAGGCAGGGCTGCTTGTGTCCCCGGGGCAGAGTGGGGAGCTCCAATGGCCAACGTGATCTAAAGTAGTGAACCCAAGATATGTGAACTTGCACTGGTTTCCCCCTTTATGCATACGCAACCCCTCAGTGCTACGTCCTGTAAATAGTTCAGTGGCATTTGATGTGTGAAAGGGGGAACGACATGGCTCTCTTATCTTTTCCACTGACATGTTGACAGTGCGTTATTCCACTTACACATGAGCTCAGTTGGGAGTGTAGCTGTGTTTCCCCGCTGGCTGCAGCTGACCATACGCTGGCAGTGCTGGGGACGGGACCTGGCACACGCAGGTCTCATGACATGAGGTGAAGTCCTCTTTTGGGACAGCAGATCTCTATGTCTCTGGCTGTAAATAAAACCAAAGTGGTCGAGCCGGGAACTCTATTAATATCATGGCCTCTGCATGATGTAACTGAAACCACTCCCCCACAACTGTTGTTGATATTTGCATCAAACCAAATTATACAAATGCATGTTTTAAAACCTACATCTGGAAAACAAAGAATTCAAACTATCCTGGAAAGCAATTTTTATTATAGTGGTTTCTTCAAAATCCATCTGTCTCTTTAACCTGGAAGAATCCTTCACAGAAATAAATAAACACTCTAGGAGTAGCTTAGAGACTTTGGCATTCTAGTTTACTTTACATTGTGTTTACAATGATGTACATGGGTACATATCTTGACTGTATTCCTACAATCAAGCTTAGACTTTCCCTTGCCTTTGTATCATCCTTATGTGATTACTTTATAACTCACAAGATAATAATTTAAAAATCAAGATTTAAACAGGGTAACAGGGTACAGTATGTGCCACTTAGGATGCAAAACACTTATTAACATGAAGTAGGAATTGTATTAAAATAAAGTAACGAGTATCATGACAAAACAAAATCGTGCTTCAAAGTTTCAGGCTGCTGCGGAAAAAAAACTCATCTAGATAATTGAGTCTGGTACTGCTTTGCTTGTTGGACTCTATTTAAAGCCTGGTTTATTTTTAGAAAGAAACCAATGAAATCTAGTTTGCTCAGGAATAGTTATTTGCAGATCAATAGCAAGTTAATATGTTGTCTCGTATGCACATCATTATGGGGAAGATGCTTTGATACATCAGTCACTTATTACTTCTGGTCTCAGACAAATAGGAAAAGTAGCAATACTGAAAAAAATGGTGCCTTACAGAAGACAGAAGATCTTTCTTTTTAAAAAAACTTTAAACAATTGAAGTTGAGAGGATGTTGGAAGTAAAGCATAACATATAAACTGCCATAGAAGGCAATGCACAGTTTGAAATCACTCTTTATTGGACAAAAAGGAACAGTACAAGACTTTCAACGCTGCACATGACAATACAACAAGTTACCTTTTAAAAGGAAAGTAACAAAAATATGGCTGTAAATGAAGCAACCTACAGAAGCCCATGTTGTATGGTTAAAAAAATGAAGAGCTAAATTCAGCCACCTTTAGTTGAACAGGGTAGCAACCAGCTCTGATGTGTTTTCCAACAGGTTCATTGGAACTTTCCTTGAAGTAAGGTGCTATTGCATGTGTCAAAATCTCACACGAAGTGCCATAATAATT